CTGTTATAGAATCTACCGACTGTTGTCAGGTTCCCATACAATCAACAAATACATTCACGCCTGGATTCTTCACAAAATGAGCAAAGAGAAAAGTTCGAATTAACTTCCAAAAATAGCTCCCTCGTGGAGGGCAAGGGCGGATTTACGGTGTTCACTGTATTTGTCCATGCGCGAAATTTGTTCCGGGGGAAAATCGAAACAATTTAAAATCTTACTTTCAGCTCAGAGTTCTATTGATAAACTTACATCACCCTATATACATATCATACGCAATTGTATTGATACTGAATTGTGGAATAAAATTGAAGTGTTTGTTAAAATTTCAAAGTACTACTTTGTTTGCCAATCAACACGCGACAATGCGCTGTTCAGACTATTGAACGAAATTGTGTGGACTGTCGATAAGGCGGGCATTTTTAATTTTAAATATAAAATATAAGTTTAAAAAGAACATAAGAGGCAGAGAAAACGTAAATATAAGTATTGACGATGCTTCAGTATATACGTGTGTTGTCCCGTCTGGTAAACAGTGTATGTGACGTCACCAGTTCGGAATGCATGTACCTGTGTTGTTATGTTCCGTTTCATCATCATCAAACTTTATTTCCTCCAAAAAAGCAAAAATTACAAAAAGTACAGAAAATGCCGCGGTAGGGCGCAGCTAAAGAACTGTGTCCTCGCGAATGCGAGTTAAAGTCCATTCACTTGAGTTCGCGAAGCGCGCACGACAAAGTATGCTGCATGCATCAGAAACAGTTTTTGAGTTGTATCATCCTGAAATTGGGTACCTGTTTTTGCACCTAATAAATTGTGAACAAAGGTAGCAGTGTCAAGTTGATCAATGTAATTGAACACATTCAATCCAAACTTATGCAGGTTCATCTGAAGAAAATGAGCCCGGAGTTCGCTGGTGTACTCGCAGGTACAGCAATAGTGAGATATGACGTCACAGAAATGTTGGGAACACTTGGAGCAAACGTTCTGGTCAGGTGGCGAAGGCTTTGCCAATAATCTGTACAATGAGTAAATTTCTTCTATGTCTCTGTTAGATTTTGCCGCGCGCAACATAATGTACGGGTTGTAGGAGGAGTGACAGTTCCTAAATATATCAAAATCACGGTTGTTTCTTAGTCGATCTTTTAGGGTCAGGTTTTCTGTAGCCATTATGGAATTTCTCACTATTCCCTTCCACTGAAGCTTAGAGGGGAACGTGTAGTAACGAAGGTGTGCAACCAAGTAAGAGGTTATATTTGTAGATTATCTGCACAACATCCGGAACAAACCCTCTTTCACGAACACTTCCAACATTTTTCGTTTGCAAATGAAGGAATGAATATAGTCTTCTTGTAAAGATCTGCTTAGTTAAGAGAGACTGCTCCATCAGAACAAGCTTTCCCAGAAATATTAGCTTCCTCTTATCAATAGCTACAGAAATTCTAATCAAACCAAGTATAGGCATTCTGACTTAATTGTACTTACGACGTAGACCTTGGACCTGCCTGCCCCTTGCACGAATAAAGCACCCTGTATTCCCGCCACTGTATTCTGGCTACTGGGTAAATATTTACTGCCCAGTGGTCATTCTTACAATCCGACTCGTGAGAGACGGATCTGTACTCCAGATTTACTGATAGAGCCATTGATAGATACATTGCCGCCAGCATGTATTAGCAGGTTTATACTAGGAACATCATACCCGGTATGTATAACCTTATTAATGTAATAACTATCGTGTAATTATAACATTTAGTTATTTGAATTGCTATATTTATAGCGGTCTGTTTTCAGAGGTCCGGTACCTCGGTCGGCGCGGAAGTTGTGTAGTATTTATTGTATTGTCCTGTATTGTAGGTTTCTCGGAGAAAGTAAAGGAAGAGATACATAAAACAACGTGTCCGAGTTTTGATATTAAACTGAGAAACCGGTGACAAATATAATCGGTTAGGATCGTCGTGCATTTTTTATACAAACACATTATACTTATATAACTGTTAACGCTTCAACTACTAGGATTGCCAAAATAGTTGATATTTTACCAAACAAACAAACAATCTACGGAAACGTCTTTGTGATCCCAAGCGGACCACAGAGCCACTCTTTGTCGTTTACATATAATATCTTTACAAGCAATGTAGAAACATCTTCAAGGATCTGTTTTGCCAAATTAACAATGAACATCGCCACGAGTGCAGCACGAGTACTTCCGATGAAAAAAAGTCGTAAGTTTTACTTGAAGGTCAATACATATTTGAAATAAAAATAAAAATAAGTAAAAAAGACTATTTTACTCTTGTATGGAAAGCTATTTCATCCCTAGTGTTTGAATATAGTTATGCTCAACTACATTGATAACAACATTTCACTTATCGATGCCTTTTCAAGAGCGCCTCATCGAAAATAAATTAGCAGTGATTGTAGGGTTCGGTACCTTTGTGTCTGTTTTCATGGTAATTACAGCATACGGACTCTTGGACGGTATACCGCAATGATTGGACGTGGGGTCTGAACTCAAACATTATTTAAAACGACATAACATAGTTATTTGAGGTGTCTGACTATGTTAAGAGATTACAGGACATGTGATCGGTGTGTGATTGTATATATAAAAAAAAACCGACACACACAAACAAAAACAAACAAAACAGACCCACACAAACAAAAACAAACAAATCAGACACACACAAACAAAACACTCACAAAACAGACACACCCAAACAAAACCCCCACAAAACAGACACACACAAACAAAACAACCACAAAACAGACACACACAAACAAAACAGACACACACAAACAAAAACAAACGAAACAGACACGTAACAATTAACGTAGGCGCAACCGCACCCCTTTCTTTACAGTATGTAGATATATGATTGGAATTGACAAAAAAATGCACCGGTAAAATAATTTATACTCAAAATGAGCAGCAACCCGTGTTGTTTTTACTCCCAGTAATAAAACTTGAAACGTTTATATTCCTTATGCAATCCAAGGATTTTAGCACAATAAATATACACACCACTTCTAAGAATATTGCAGAGGGGGAAAATGTCCGTTCAAGTCTCACAAAGATTAGTAATTTATCAATGAACCACCTGAACAGATATATAATGTGCATAGCATGGTCCAGCACATCCTCGATATCCAGGGGTTATGCTCACTTTCGCTCTCTGCACCCCTGGAATATGTCATAGCAATTGTATTGTTGTCGAAAGAGGAGACGAGTAAGTATTCTGCTATTTAAAGTATATCCCCCACTGTCCAGTCGGCTGTAATTTTATCCGCGCCCAATGGTCCTGTCGCTGTTCTTCCCTGAGTCACACTGTGTCTGACAATAATCCAGTTCAATCTCCGTTTTACAAGAATCGACGGCTGCCCATATTTCCATAAAGTGTGACGAAATCTCTATGGATATTTGCCGGTAAAGGGCGTATATGCTTCCCTGGAAACACTTGTTACTCTCTAATATACCCTTTACATATTGTTTGCATTCGTGTGTACAAATATCGAAGGGTTTGCAAAGTTTCTTGAGGTTTTTAAAAAGGGCTACGTTTTCTGGGTTAAGTGGATTGGCATTTTTTTTAATGTTGCAGCCGTTTACCAACGGGAAGTCTGATGAAAAGTGTTGTATTTTACACAAATCTATGTCCTGCACTGACCAGCACGAATGTCCATGTAGGTTTTGAGCTGGGAAGACAAACAGAAAGCCTAAACACATTTCGTCTGTAGTTCCCCCTCCTATAAACGTCGTCCTGTCTTTACCAACAGTTCTGTAAGTACAAGTTATCTTGATTTCATCTCCCGGCTTGAATTCGATAGGAGTCTCCAATCTATGGCAATAAAATAATTTTTGATTAGAAATAAATATGTTTCCTTCTGATATGTTTGTTGTTCTTTTATTTGTTATATGAAATCCGGGTCATGGAATGAATGTGGGGCTACATAGACTCTGACTCTGTAATCTGAACGTTTAGCTTAATGAAATAGTGGTCGTACAGTTATCTGACTCCAGATTCATGAACGTTTCCTAACGTAACTAAATTCGCTAACTTTAAATTTTCCATAGGAGAAGGCCTTACTGGAGCTCAGCGAAAAGATTATATAATTGAAGTGTTTCTTAACTCCAATTATGTATTCTTATGAAAACAAGAGGCCCAATGGGCCTGCATCGCTCACCTGGTATTAATCTCACACTTGTTATCTTAAAAGTGGACTAAAATACAGCTACAGGCAGAATATCAGTATTTGATTCATAAGAACCTATTAATAGATTTAAACATATGACGCCTGTGACCTTGAATGTCGAACAAGGACATAAGGTTGAACAGAGTTTATAGTCTTCCAACCCATTTGCTTATAAAGAAGTCGTGTTAAGGTTTTTAACATATTTGACCCCTGTGACCTTGACTATATGTCAAGGTCATTCATTTGAACAAACTTGGTAGCACTTCATCCCAGCACGCTACAGGCCCAATATCAATACCCTGGGCCTTTTGGTCATTGAGAAGAAGTCGTTTGAAGATTTTATGACATTTGACCCATGTGACCTTGAAAGTGGGTCAAGGTCATTCATTTGAACAAACTTGGTAGCCCTTCATCTCAGTATAAAACAGGCCTAATACCAGTACCCTGGTCCTTTTGGTTATTGAGAAGAAGTCGTTTGAAGATTTTAAGACATTTGACCCCTGTGACCTTGAAAGCGGGTCAAAGTCATTCATTTGAACAAACTTGGTAGCCCTTCATCCCAGCATGCTACTGGCCAAATATCATCACCCTAAGCCTTTCAGTTATTGGAAAGAAGTTGTTTAAAGTAAACAATTGACGCCGGACGACGGACGCCGCACCACGGCATAAGCTCACTTGGCCCTTCGGGCCAGGTGAGCTAAAAATCAGTTATAGAATTCGTATAGGTTAAGGAATGTTCGTGAAATTTTAGCAGGATTTATCAACCACTCATAACTAAGTAAAGAGTTGATAAAATATGCATTTGTATCGAAAAAAGAAGACCTCCTCCTCCCTTATAAAAAAATCAAATATATTTTCAAATCCGAGACATCTCGACCCCTGGTAAATGAAGACGATACTTTCCTATGTTTTGCTATTTGCACACCGAGTCAGTAAGTGAACAAAGCGAGTAAATGTCTTGCTATATGTCACTCTCAATATCTCAAATGCTAGACCATCAATTTATGAATTAGCTACATTCTATTGTTAGTTTATGATGAAATTATTGAACTATTTTCACTGCCGTTTTATCACTTTATGCCATTTCCCGACACGTCCTGTAAAATCCCCGCAAAGATGAATTTGGAAAATTGATCTGATGTTTCGAATCCAACCAAAATATAACGTACACATGCATTGTAGGCTTGTCAGTGTATACTTGTGTGAGCGCTGATCACGTGTAGACAGAGGACTGCATTGTGACAGGTGCGCTACACGTACTCTTATATACATAAATGGTTTACGACTTTAGGAAATGGATGAATTTGTCAAATGGTATAAAATGACAGCTATAATGGCAGACTTGATATTAAATTATTGATAAGATTATAGTATAACATAAGATAATTATCAATAATTTAATCTTGCTTGTAACAAGCATTTTCATTGGTTTAAAAATTTATGTTATCAGCCCATAACATAAAAAATGACGTCACCTTTTGTAACGTCGCCTTTGATTGGCTGATACAGCAGCGCAAAAATTTCTAAGAGAAAAGAGTCCATCAATAACAGTGGATTTCCACAGGGATTGTGTATAGTAGATTAAATTAGAAGGATCAACTTGAATATATTTTTCATGTTAGGAACTATAATTTAATCTTGCATGTAACAAGCATTTTCATTGGCTTAAAAATTTATGTTATCAGTCCTTAACGTAAAAAAATGACGTCACCGTTTGCAACGTCGTTTTTGATTGGCTGATACTGCAGCGCAATAATTTCTAAGAGTAAGAGTCCATCAATAAAAGTGGATCTCCACAGGGATTGTGTATAGTAGATTAAATTATAAGGATTAACTTGAATATATTTTTCATGTTATGGAACTATAATTTAATCTTGCATGTAACAAGCATTTTCATTGGCTTAAAAAAATATGTTATCAGTCCTTAACGTAAAAAAAATGACGTCGCCGTTTGCAACGTCGTTTTTGATTGGCTGATACTGCAGCGCAATAATTTCTAAGAGTAAGAGTCCATCAATAAAAGTGGATCTCCACAGGGATTGTGTATAGTAGATTAAATTATAAGGATTAACTTGAATATATTTTTCATGTTATGGAACTATAATTTAATCTTGCATGTAACAAGCATTTTCATTGGCTTAAAAAATTATATTATCAGTCCATAACGTAAAAAAATGACGTCGCCGATTGCAACGTCGCTTTTGATTGGCTGATACTGCAGCGCAATAATTTCTTGTTATATCTCCATAACATGAAAAATATATTCTAGTTAATCCTTAATTATAGACCAGGTTCGTTTGGGTAATAGGTCCTTTCGCTCATTCGGCGTAAAACCCTACAAGGTTAGCGCGGGTAAAGGAGGGAAGCAGCCAGAGCTATATGGACCTATTAGTTAGGTAAGAATAACGGGATAAGCGAATACTGAACTAATAATCAATATCTGTTTATCTGACACAGTGAATAGGGGTAATATTAATAATACACAATAAATCAAAATACTCAAACCAATTTTATAAAACAAATAACACAGCGATGTTATACCTAATAAAACATAATATATACATAATGTAGATGTATACATGAGCACATAAAAGTAATACACCAACCCCTAAGTATCCTCCCACAACCAACCCCTCCCCCCTTCCAACCCCTCTCCGGCCCATACAACTAGCACTCGATACAGCCCATAAATATATTGGCACAATTCTTTGATACCCATCACTTCTTTCAATCTCCCACCCCTCCAGCTCCAAACAATGTTATAACCAAATAATAACACTAACCCCCACCCCCACCCCCACCCAGTTTTTCTTTTTACCCATACTAATAATCACACTATACACTAAAAATTATAAAATGTCGGAACGATGAACAGAATTAAGTGAAAGACAAGACGAGGTTTTTAAGAAAGAGGACATTGGTCAGCCATATTTTCAGTGACGAATGATGAGGAGAGGATTACATTAAACAGACAACAAAAAACAGCACATGCATGACTCTAACCACTAACCACTAAAGCACAGTCCGGCGGGTAGGACTATAAATGGTGGCCCGTGTGAAAACTGTCCAATCTCGCAAGAAAAAGATCCCTCTGAGTTTTTCGTAAACGCCGGCACAGAGGATAGGGTAAGCTTTATTCCAATTTTTCGACCGTTAGAACTAGGGTATCTTTATTAAGACATTTATAAGGACTTTAAATTACATATTATACAAACCAAATGTACAGAATAGTTAGGAGCTGGTGTTCATGTTGGCGGCTTTCTACCTCACTACCTGTCCAGACTTGGTGCTGCTAGTGTTAGGATAAGGCAACATTAGGCCTCGGAGCCGTCTTACAAAAATTAGATTTATACAGTAAATACATATAGGACAGACGGCTCCTTCTCTAACCTGTCCCCCTCTTCTATCCCTTCACTCCATACTTTATCCCTCCTACCGATTTTCCTTTCTTTTCTTCGTCTGCTGGATAACCGAACTACTCGGTAGTGAAGCGGACGTAAAATCTATCAATCAATCAATCAATCAATCAATCAATCGGCGGACTTGATATTAAATATTGAGATTTTACTATAACATAAGATAATTATCATTACAGACCACGTTCGTAAATCAGGGATATACCTCACCTGAATTCCACGATTATATAATATTTACTTACGAAAATTCAACGAACTTATCGTAGGCATATGAGTCATCGTTTGTTATATCCCTGACCAGCAACCCGTCTCTATATTGCTGGATCCTTTCTTTTCGTCCTGTTTAATTGGAAAAATGTGTTTAATTATTTAATATTGATGATATTCAGTTAATAATTAAGGAAAATTATTCCTACGACATCATTATTGAAAAGTCAAAATAATTATGTATTAAACTTTTGTTCTTATATGGATTTTTTGAAAAAGGAGTTAATGGCATAGTAGAAAATGCCAAAAACTGTATGTCCGTGTGTTCGTTTTTGTTCTATAATCGGTCAAAGATACCAATTCAAAACAAAATGTGCTTTTAGGTGATTTTTTGGGTTTTGACCATTTGCAGAACAAATTCATACGATTTATTCCAAGTGTGTTATCAGATATGTATGAATGTTTGTACAATTGATGAAAATATTATTTTCTTTTAAACTATGGAAGTAAATTTCTTAATCTTATTCTTTTAACTCAGAAAGCCATTTTACCATTTTTTGCAGATTAAACGCTTGATTTAATAAGTTCTGCTATTAAACTTTTTTTTAAATATTTTATGAATTAAAAGAAAATGTGTTTCTCTTTCTAAAACATCCACAAAAAAGGGGTTCCGTGTGCTTCTTTTTTTGTCCCATTATCATTTGTGTTATTGTTTACCTTTTTTAGGGTTAAAAATCAAAAGTGCTTCAGTTACATTAAAAGGTAAAACAAATATAAATAATGTATAATTTTCCAGTTTGTTGCATATTATTTTTATAGTATTAATTATTATCAAGTTGTACACCAAAATTGAACCTGCTACAATTAAAAATGGCGACACAATGACAACTTGATAGATCAATCTAGTGTCAAAAAAGGTGAATATTTTGTTTTTTTTGAAGCGAAAGAAATACACATTAATACACATTTTCAAAACGGCCGCCGAATTGGTAATTTTTTTAAAAATTCTTGGCATCAGGCAACAGGCATCTAGTTTTTTGACATATTTTTCAGATGCGTGTTTGCTAATAAACTTGATCAGGATTTGTTGCATATTACAAAAATCCGTTACACCAGATCAAAACGAGACCTGAACGTGATTGAAACCTCAGAAGAGTACATCCTTAACTCTATTGAAAGTCCAGAAACATCTGGTCACATGACCACTGTTTCCGTGACATCATGGTTACAATGTAGCAACCCCACCATTACAGCGACGTCCTCAATTTATACGACAGCCGCCTTGTTGTTGTCGTTTGGTTCATACAAGACGGGTTTTGCAGACAATGAAGACATCCTAAAAAAAAGGTTAGTTCTTACCTTTGTATTAGAATGATGTTCTGCACATATAATTAGAGCATTTAACTGCATTTAACATTTGTCGCCCGGTTACATTTTTTTAATCGCGACCATTGTTTGGAAAGTGTTCGGTCCGATAATGGCTGTCTACGGCTGTTCCAAGAATTGGACCATTTAGGTTTTGTGGCAGCAGAAAATATAGATTAAGCTCATCCGAATAATTAATAAAAGACAGGTCGTATGAGGAAATGTAAATATAACGATTGAACGTCTGTCAGATTGCAGTTACAGCCAATATGAATGCAATCTGGGTGACAGATAAATAATCATGACGTCCTCATTCTATTTATCTGTCACCCTGTTTGCATTCATATTGGCTGTAACTGCAATCTAAAAGACGATTAATCCTTAATTAATGGGTCAGTTTCCGTAACAACCCTGTGAAACCAAATTGCAGTTGTTTTGAAACATGTGTGTTTATATTGAATTAATACAGTGTATGATATAAAACAACTATCTTATTACCTGTCTAAGTGATCAAACGCATGCTAATCTTTAGGTGACAAAGTTTAGTATCTCACCGAGGTAGTGCATGTGATTAAGTGCTTTTGTTATGTAGACTGGTCCAGACAAGTATCGCGAGGTACAGTCACTTCTACACCATGCTTCTACTTCAAATTCTGCTTCACCAGGAGGAATATCAGAGTGGGATAAGCCGATCTCCCACATTTTAAGGTCATTTGGCCGGTGATTTTTGGTGTAGTACAACGTCATTCCGGAGCTATCAGTGTAGTCGGAGCGAAGCTCAGGATTGTTCCAGTGAATCTACAAAATAGTGGAAGATACTCAAGCACGTAAAAAATCCCTTACATTGGTATCCGCGGAACATGTAAGTCAACATGCAGACTTCAATGGTCAAAGCAAACTTTGTGGTTGCTAAAGGCAAACTTTAATGTACTGATGAGACATACGACCTTCTTACAGGTTCTAAATCGAGCTCAGTCTAGCATATACATTGTATGTCGATGAGAAACAGAAATCAGAAATATAAACCAAAATTGTGTGATTAACTTAAATACTTTTTCATCAACAAGAACGTGTTTTTTTCTCTATGATATACATCGCCTCAATTCCCTAGGTTAGCTCTTTATAATCTTAGTTATTATTAGTACTACAAGCACTTATAATACATCATCAACCTCAATTTCACTTAAGTCATTTACAGCTTTTCTTTTATTTAGATTTATCAATTAAGCTCTGTTGTTGTTTTAAAACAACAGGAAAAGTGATTACAGTGCCTCTCTTCTTTCTTATCTTGCAATTACTATTTCACCACCTTACAAATGTAACTGTTCGATAGCTCGGAATGTCGCGGACGGACAACTTTATAACACAAGGTTTTGAGAGATGCCAGCTGATGAAGATATTTCATTTTATTGTCGCCATCACGATCTCATTTGGAAATTATATATTATTGTGCAGTTTGCAAGTCTAAGTTTTTCCATTTCGTCCTCGTTCCTCTTGTAGTTCCGTTATCCCCTTTTAGTTCCGTTATCAGTCCCCGGTTCCCACTTTGAGGACGTGGCATTTCTCGGATTTGACCTAGTTTTGACCTAGATTTGACCTAGATTTACATGGCGGGCGTCGTCGATGAGACAGCAGACGCCTTCCCTTCCAGAACACATGGTCTCATCATTCCTGTCTTTTTTAAAAAGATGTGCGCTCCAAGTGCGAATGAACATATGAGCGCACGATGGACGAACGATGTGTGATACAAACCTTGTTGGTGTAAATTCAGGAATGGCTCAACAATAAATACAATCTAAATTTAATTTAGAAATAACGTTTTCATATTTTTTTACAATCGACCTAAGTCGACACGTGAGCAACACATACTGGAAATAATCATATACATATATTTATAATTGCCACTGTTTCTGAATCGATAACGTAAGTGTAGGCAAGTCTGTTTAATTCTCAATAACTTGAGTGTAGAACGTGATCGAGTTCACCGCGTATGAATATATGTAAATATGGACAGACTTCTTTCCACAAACCTCGTGTCAATGTTTACAAACAAAGGCTTGCATTTAGACTACCGTGCTTTCGAGACAACAAATGATGTCGGGTTCGAGACAAGACAGATCATGTAAAATGAAGCTAGTGTCAGAAGCTACAGTCGCGATTGTTCGTCGATACAAAAACGCTCCACCAGCTCCACTCTCTCATCTATGAGTGTCGGACAGAAACGAGGGCTATCGTTCCTAGAAATGTAGATCTAATTTCTCGTCTCACAAATGTACACATCATACAGTGTACATGTCATCTGTACAAACAGCAATTTCAATAACTACACATTCAACTTCCACCAGGCCTAGGCTAGTCACTATCGCTCGACGACAAGGTAGCACTATCTATTTCCCGCCTTTGGGCGCATCACTTTAAAAAAATAGACGTCCGCGGTCTTTAGTATTTTATACTAAGTATTTTGCCCCAGTACCTCAATTTCATACAAATATAAAATTATTTATTCCATTACCTACAAATACAATTATGAAGATATTGTATGAAGTTAAATATGGATATTTTATATGAATAAAAATATTGAAATATTGAAATGGAGGAACCTTTTTATTTGTTGTCACGGATAAAGTTGACGGGGTTTAGCTGTCTGTCAACGGCTTTTACGAATGTAGATTACACAAGGTAAATGCTTGTATCCGCCTCTTTTTATGATGTTATTGTTAAAAGAAAATATTGTAAATATAGGGATTAACCTTTTATTTTGTTTAGTTTATGAGATAATAAATCTAATGGAGCAGTCGGTAAATTGTTCGTAAACGCGAAGATTTATTATCTCTTAAAAAACAAAACAAAATAAAAGGTTAACCCTTAAGTAAACATAGCCAACCTATACATGTATATTTGGACCGAAGTTCACCTCACCCGGGCACTCACGCAATTCGCCGAAGAGCGAAAACGTTAGGTCAAGATAAAGCAATTACCAAATATCATGGGTGCATTTGTGCTTTTAATATAGTCATACAGAATTTCCAATCAATTCTCTGTGAGAGGCACACGACATCCACAATATCCTCTGTAGTTTATTTCTCTATTCTGTTACCTGTTATCTAATATTGATTCGCACGATGTTTAAACGCTAAAATAGGTGCGGTTTGTGGTTAACTAGCTGTAGCTTAAGAATGTACTCCTCTGAGAAGTCAAAAAGTTCTTGTATTAAACTTTTTTTTCTAATATGGAATTTTTGAAAAAGGAGAATATGAGAAAATAAAAAATACACAGAAAATTGCGTGTCTGTATGCTCGTTTTTTTGTTACAATCGGTCAAACATACCAATTCAACAAAATACTTTGCCCATTGGCTATTATTTATATACATGTTTCAGAACACTTTTACCCTGCCCATTGGCTGTTATTTATATACATGTTTCAGAACACTTTGACCCTGCCCATTGGCTGTTATTTATATACATGTTTCAGAACACTTTGGCCTTGCCCATTGGCTGTTATTTATATACATATTTTTAGAACACTTTGACCTTGCCCATTGGCTGTTATTTATATACATGTTTCAGAACACGTTTATCTTACCCTTCGACTGTTGTTTCTATACATGTTTCAAAACACTTTTACCCTGCGCATTGGCTGTTTTTATATACATGTTTCAGAACACTTTTACCCTGCCCATTGGCTGTTATTTATATACATGTCTCCGAACACTTTGACCTTGCCCATTGGCTGTTATTTATATACATGTTTCAGAACACGTTTACCTTTTTGACCTCAGTTACATTAAACCTAAAATGACGAAATTGACATGTGGTTCAGTTTGGCTTCCTTACAAAGACAAACAGATTTCTATACAGGTAATTCATCTCTTTATTTTTCAAATCATTATTATGTCTGATCGAAATTTTGCAGTAGATTTCACTTAAATTTGATACGTAGGGATATGATAACAGTCTGTTAATGAATTAGATGGCAACCAGAAACTATATTATGTTTAGGTGTCGACTTTTGATCATATTTGATATTTAGAGGTTTTCGGCACATTGAACTCGCGTCTTCCAATTTTGCATCATCGATGTTACCTTGGGACCCTGTAACGACCGCCTTTACAGTTACACCTTCAGTTTGATATTCTAGGTGATACAATACAGTCATACATATAACTCAAATTGTTTTTGAAATGCATTTTTCTCAATAATTTCCAAGAATGATAATCCAAGGTTTCCTTTTTGGAGGGAGTTACTTTCAGTTGTTCTAGATTATCTCAATGAAAGCTATCATAATAAATTGGAATGTAAATTTCCTTTTAATGGCAGGTATAGATTGCTGTTGATTTTGGACGCTTTGAGATAACTTAATTTACACAAACAATAATGTTTATTTAGCATAGGTTGTTAAACCATACACCTATGGGATTATCGTTAACCGCAATTGAAAGGAAACAGAAATTCCTTTAATTAATGAGGGAGGTGAAAGCGATTATTTATCAACAACCCTTTGCTATGTTGAAAGAGCCGTGCATGGTATTTTAATATCCAAATACATGTATATTACACCAGAGCTTTATAACTGGGAATTAACACATATGCCAAATAATATTGAATATGTTAACACATAGACAATGTGTATTTGGGATATTTCTGAGATGTCTCTTCGCTTGGTTTGTGGGATGGACTGCAACTTTTTATTGAACACATAGAAAAGAAAGAACATCTTGGAGTGATTTATTTGAATTTGCTGTGTATGTAAAAATGTGTCTATACCTGCAATACGACTTGTCTGATCCCGATTTGTCCTATTCTCACTGCCGCCTCCTTGCCATAACAAGTTCCACTGGAGCCGATTCCCCAGCCAGCGAGGAGATTCTTACACTGGGTCGATTTGGACATACCACATGACCTAGGTTTGGTCATGTCCTGAGTAGCCGCGTCTGAAATATGATGCGCCAAATTTAAAATTAACATTTTTTAATGATTTACTTTTAAAATCAAAAGGTAGCTGACTCTGCTGGTGGACTATCAGCCCTAGAGGTTGGTCGTACTCTGCTGGTGGACTATAAGTACCCGAGGTTGGCCTTACTCTGCTGGTGGACTATAAGTACCCGAGGTTGGCCTTACTCTGCTAGTGGACTATCAGTACCCGAGGTTGGCCGTACTCTGCTGGTGGACTATCAGTCCCCGAGGTTGGCCGTACTCTGCTGGTAGACTATCAGCCCCAGAAGTTGGCCGTACTCTGCTGGTGGACTATCAGTTCCCGAGGTTGGCCGTACTCTTCTGGTGGACTATAGGTACCCGAGGTTGGCTGCACTCTGCGAGTGGACTATTAGTCCCCGAGGTTGGCCGTACTTTGCTGGTGGACTATCAGTTCCCGAGGTTGGCCTTATTCTGCTGGTGGACTATCAGTCCCCGAGGATGGCCTCACTCTGCTGGTAGACTATCAGTCCCCGAGGTTGGCCTTACTCTGTTGGTGAACTATCAGTACCCGAGGTTGGCCTTACTCTGCTAGTGGACTATCAGTCCCCGAGAATGGCCACACTCTGCTGGTAGACTATCAGTACCTTAGGTTGGCCTTACTCTGCTGGTGGACTATCTGCCTTAGAGGTTGGCCTTGGCCATGTGGATGTTTTTCAGTCACGATTCACATAAAATACTAATACAGCTAAAAATTGTAAATTTTAAGTGTCATTGAGGTCATTTTATTAAAGCAATAAACTGCATAGAGGTGGTAAACCTATTTTGCTAATATCCATAGTAATACTGTCATCGATGTATGAGCGCAGGGAAAAGTAAGTATAAATATGGATAAAATGATGCTGATTAAATCAATGCTATAACAAATAGCGATACTGCATTTTTTTTATTATTATTATTTCTTAGACGGACTCTGACTACTAACCAGTACGAAAAGCGGAACGATTTCGACATTCCAATTGTGAACTTTACCTTTCTTGCGAGTAACACCCTTTTATTCCAATGTTTTAGTGTATTCGGTATTCAAGAGCTTGGCATGGTCACTAATAGTCGCCATTATGATTTCGTAGGGATATAGGGAATAATGCTATTTGTTTGTCATATGAAGGTCGATTTGTTTTATTATGCTAATTAGTATGTATTTTTGTTTTGTTGCCACCACCTGGGTTCTCGGTGTGAGAAATGTTATTCCTTGGATTTTACCTAGATTTACACGAGGGCATCTTCGATGAAGCAAATGACGTTTACCCTTCCGGAGGACCTGGTCTTATACGTTTTCAAGAGTCTCCATGGAAAATGTCATTCGTTCACATTTTACCTAGTTTTATCGATTTTGAGTTTTGATTGTGGTTTTGTTGACGCTTCGGTAATCTCTTGTTGCTTTGTCTTACCTGGATTTTCACAGCCATATAGAAGCATGTGATGCATAACATTCACATTGTCGATGTATGGTTCCATGGCAACAAAGTGGTAGTCGCCGTCTGTCGGTAGGTCAAAAAACATACACAAGTAGTTTGTCTCGTCAGAGGGCACGGCGGTCTCAGGAAATCTCAACGTGATGTTCTTCATTCCTAAAATGTACATTCATCCTTATTGTCGCAATTTGTACGCGTTCATACAAAAAGATGTCTGTAAATAGTGATGAGAGAATAACTTACCATGCCTTTCATAAAAGGTAGGATTAACGCCTATAGAGATTAAACATTAGCGTCGGCCCCCACTTGGAATTTCAAAACAATATAAATCCAAAAAGGTATGGGTATAGGAAGCTTAAATCAGAAACGGTTAGTTTCAGAATTCATTTTATGATAAATGGGACCTCATTGACTTACAACTGTGTTAAAGGTGTGGTAATACAATTCTCCTAGAGCATTTAAATGACAAAATTACTATAAAATTATATCATCATCGTGTGCAACATATTCATACTGTTATTTTGATACCGAATATTACATTATTTCAAGAAAGAATTGTTCTTTTTATTGAAGATTAAAGCAGAAAATATGTGAAATTTTATTACTAATAAAAGTTGACTACCAAAAATATCTTTCAACATCAGGAATTTCAAAAATATGACAACCGGTAAATTTGTCATATAACACTTTTGATTCCAAAAACGTAAAACAGAGCTTTTTCCACTTTTTCTTTAACTTATGTTTCTTCATGACCAAAGGTCATTTGATCTTGATATTTGACAAGCAGGTTGTTCATGTGAATGGATTTAAGTTTTGTAAACGGTGATGATCACAAAAATCAAATGTGCTAAAACGATTTTGTATAGGAAGTCGGACAAGGATATCTTTCCTTGCTTTATTTGTTAGGAGTTAACGGTATATTTTAATGTAATGTTCATTCATTTTGTTTAATGAATAGCAATAAGCAAAAACAATTAAAGAATAATAACTAGAACTGTAAGCCAAGGACTAACTAATATCCCAGCTCCTATATAAACCAGAACTGTAAGCTTAAGGCTAACTAAGGCAAAGCATAGCAGTAATTATTCAAATACATATGTCAATGACATACTTCCTGTATTCCCTCTCTATGCCAAACGATACTTCCATACCAAATCGTGTTAGCCCAGATGAACCAGTTTGCTGAATCGTCCTAGTAGTTAAGAAAGAGTTGTCAAGTCATTTTTTTTAACAAAGGGTCTAAATGAAAAAAATACTCCCCTGATGCACGTACCCATCAGGGGGTAATTACCATATCTGTAAACATTCATTGAAATTGGCCCCATAGTTTTGGAGGAGTTGACTTGACAAGTATTTTTCAACAAAGGGCCATTACTCCTAAAAAGGGTCAGATTGAACAAAAAAATACCTGGATGCACACCATCAGGTGGTAGTCACCATATCTGAAAACTTTCGTTGAAATTCACCCCTTAGTTTTGGAGGAAATGTCCGGACAAGGATTTTTCAACAAAGGGCCATCACTATGTAAGAAAAAGGTCAGAATGAAAATATAATGCCTGGATACACAACTGCAGGTGTTAGTGATCCTATTTTGGAAACTTTCGTTGAAATTGGTCCACTACTTTAGAAGTAGTTGTCCGGACAAACGTTTTCTACCGACGGTCAGGTGGACGGACAAGCTGATTCCAATATCCCCCCTCCCTGACTTCTTTGCGGGAAGTATAGTCAAGTGTATAATAGTTTTAATATTAAGATTTTTTTTATTGTTTTTATATAATTGCATATCTTTGTCTATAACACAATCATAACCTTAAATAGTTCTTCAGAGGAAAGATTACTTTGGTAGAATACATATTCATGAGTTATTACTGCTGCACATACATTTAAAACATGCGAAAATAATAAAGTGGTTTGGTATGATACAAACACAGAAAATGTATCGGTATTTACCATAATAAACATTGATAATCAAATTTTCAAGATTATGTGAAACTGGGCATTGATCATGTTTGCCTTGTCAAAAAATGTACTTTACCGGTTTTGACATTATATAAAAATGATTCTGTAGACAGAATAAATATATTGGTAGTTTTTTAAGAAGTTTAAAATATAGACTACCATTGTACCTATATATAGGCAAGTTGACAATGTTGGTTTTATCTTAAATTTTATGAAGTTTTTGCATACTTTTCCTATTAAAAGTATCACTACGCTTACTTCAAGTATACCAATATGTCATATTTAGTATCAAAATAACAGTATTTTTATACACTGTACACTTTCATAATTAGTCAATAGGCCTATCCTATCAAGAAATATGCATTTAACACAATTTTCTCGAATAAAAGTTCGTTGTCACTGCTTATGTATATATAGAACCAGGTATACATTTCTGTTCATATTAATTGGTGTAACGATAAATACTCCAATGGTTTGCTATTCATCAGAAAATTGTTTTAAAACCCTTTTCTCGTTTCTATGATATTTTGGTTATGTATCACTTGTTACCACGGCAGGATAATGAACGAATGATGAAATGATGTATAGTCTATCTCCAAGTGTTATGACATACAAATAAGAATGAACATGTGACGTTTGTGACAATTAATTTCTTTATGCATGTAGCTGATGAAGCTGCAAAGCTGCTAAAAAGGGCTCCAGATTGTATGACGATTCACTTTAGAAGTAACATGACTTTCAGTAACAGCTTTCAGAAAATTATGGGTAAGTGAAATCGAGACATTTGCAAAGTTGTCCTAATTCAACATGAAACCTCTTCAACGGTAGAGGGAGATATATAAAATGATGTTTACGCTTACATGACACATATGTATCTACTGATATATGACAAAGTATTGTAAGCTACTTCAGAGCATGTCTTCCATAAAACCATGCAAAATGGTAATAAACGTCCAGATGGATGTTTCTGATATAACGCAAACAGTTTGTTTACTGTAAATGATAACATATCAGAGTTAGAAATAATTCATAATTCATTTTCAAAATAACATTCGCCTGTGATATTTATCTGTCATTTTGTTAGATAACTCCCGTCACTAAACCTGGTGTTATGCAAGGAGGTCCACTACAGTTATCAGTAGCAATTATGAATAATCATTTATGCAGATATTGATCATTTTTATGTATCTACATATGGCAAAAGAATACAAGAAATCAAAGTGGGGGCCAAATGTTGACCCCACCTTTCATCACAATGTTACAGTCGAAATATTGTGTTTGGCTGAACATAAATATAATGGAAATAAAGTTGTGGTACTAACCAACTTCGCTAAGCGCATCACATTGCAGATCTCCGATCCGACAGTCGATCCAGTTGTTGACTGCTTGGCAGGCGGGAGCTGAGTGTGGGGTGCAAACACCTACCAATAAAACAACAGCTAAATCACGCGTGTCAATTAGACCTAAAGTTGCGGTCAGGTGCAAATATAGTGAATTTTCATTTCGATACCAAACTATCAAATTGGCAACGGAAAGATGAATTGGCAATATATTAATTTGAGACTATTCATGTGTATAATATGATAAAATCAATAAAGAAGTACTGTGTATAACAGACCTGGGTGACTGATGTCAATGGTGACCGTTGGAATATTTCCTTTGGTCCATACACAATCCGGGTCTCCGAGTTCTTCCCCATTAGTTTTTCCATCTTTGTCAGAGTCCATCTCACACAGGAATTTTGTCCACTTCTGTTAATACGTAACGCGAGGTGTTTAAACTGTTTCAACAAACCTTCAGCAGTTTTAGCGGAAATAATTTATGGTAAAACACGTTCTGCGTTCGATATTAAGATTCATTGGCATTAGGGTTATTCTTTTCAAAACAAACGCAATGTGTGTGTTTTTAAATGCATTTACAATTCATTTACATTAACGTACCATTCCAGCGTTCTTAAAGTCCAAACCAAACGGATTTATGTCACCTCCTCCGTGGGGGTCCAGATGCCCGACCCCTCCCCATATGTAGTTAGCCTTACACGGGTGTGGCACCCCTCCTCCATTAGGAATCTCGTCCTGTAGATGTCGGTATCCCCATACCGTAGACGCAAACAACACACTGATCAATACCCGCATTCTACAAAACCAAAATATTGACTTTTACAATTCAATCAATAGGCCTATCCTATCAAGAAACATGTATTTAACACAATTTTCTCGAATAAGAGTTCGTTGTCACTGCTTATGTATATATAGAACCAGGTATACTTTTCTGTTCATATTAATTGGTGTAACGATAAATACTCCAGTGGTTTGCTGTTCACCAGAAAATTGTTTTAAAACCCTTTTCTCGTTTCTATGATATTTTGGTAATGTATCACTTGTTACCACGGCAGGATAATGAACGAATGATGAAATGATGTATAGTCTATCTCCAAGTGTTATGACATACAAATAAGAATGAACATGTGACGTTTGTGACAATTAATTTCTTTATGCATGTAGCTGATGAAGCTGCGAAGCTGCTAAAAAGGGTTCCAGATTGTATGACGATTCACTTTAGAAGTAACATGGCTTTCAGTAACAGCTTTCAGAAAATTATGGGTTAATGAAATCGAGACATTTGCAAAGTTGTCCTAATTCAACATGAAACCTCTTCAACGGTAGAGGGAGAGATATAATATGATGTTTACGCTTACATGACACATATGTATCTACTGATATATGACAAAGTATTGTAAGCTACTTCAGAGCATGTCTTCCATAAAACCATGCAAAATGGTAAAAAAACGTCCAGATGGATGTTTCTGATATAACGCAAACAGTTTGTTTACTGTAAATGATAACATATCAGAGTTAGAAATAATCAATAAACAATTATAAATTATTTATCTATTTTTAGTAACAGTTGATATACGAATTAGTTGAAAATCTCAATTGAACTTGTCAAAAATTGAGAAAAAACATGGTAATAAAAGTACCTTGGAAAAATACAAGACCAATTGTTTAAACATAATTGAAGAGTTAGATGATTGTTTACAGAACATTCAAAAATTAAAATTTGAAAAAAAAAATAAAGTGGAACTTGTGTTGACCTTTCAAAAATTGGCATTTTGCCAATTTTTTTTTAAACTTTTAAAATTCATGCGACTACTTTTAGCAAAATCACTTAAGGTAGTTTATACAAATGGATAGAATTAACTGTTTAAAAAAGATAAGTAATTAAAGTAAATAATATAAAAAAATAGTGATGGCAAATTTAATTCAATATAGCAATTTATGGATGAAATGTGCATACATTTGCACTGAAATTTCACTTTTATTTGTAACTAAATTAGGATTTAATGCCACAATTTTGACATTTTTACAGTTAAAATGAAAATAATAATATCGGGCTTTAAAATAAGTTTATGTTCTTTGAAAAATGAATGTGTTATTAATTTGATTCTTCAGACATAATTGGTATTTTATTGATCCTTTTGATGTTGCAGTAGTGTTTTATTAGGAATTTCATGCTTAAAAACCTTTATTTGTGAATACATTTGATAAGAAAGTATAAAGAATAATTCAAATGTAAAGGTAAAATAAGATGTGGTATCTAAAAAAGTACATGTATTTGTAAAAAACCCAGTGTATTATAAGAAAATAAATGAGCAACAGTATTTGAGTACTTTCAAAAAGAGTTATTTCCCTTTCCTGAACTCTTCAAAAACAGTGGTGCAGACAACAACAAATGAAAGAAATGTCAGACTGCAGACAATCATGGCTAAATGTGATTTCTCCAACTTTTCTTATATACTATGTGAAAAATCCACAAGATGAAAATATTTTATGTGGCGCCCGCCACTTAATTATCTGGCGGCCGCCACTTAAATTGTCTGGCGGCAGCCACTTAACTATCCAGTCATTTGACAGCGAGGTCGCCGTTTACAGCCATAAAAGGGGCGAACCAATAACATAAAAGACAGGTATGCTTGTGAATTTGGTTTTCATTGCGTAAAAGTTTTGTACTAATATAACAGTTTATTATAATCATAGATGGAAGATAGGCCAAATTATTACAAAGATAAAGTGATGAATACATGTGGATATGGGAGGGGAGATAATTCACTCGGTAACACTAAAATTGATGACGTCACACGCAAAAAAACCACATGATGAAGTGATGAAGATATGGGGCCGTAGGTTACTTGAGTTGCTAAGGCGCCATCTTGGATCCAAGATTGCGGATTTCCTTAGCAACCACACCCCAGATCGTCATGTATTCATCAATAAAGTAACGATATATGACTATGATATAAACCTAAAGCTAAAAGTGCTACATCACCTACTGTTGTAAAGATAACGGCTAGAGGTGGCCCTGCCAGTCCTTCGTCCAGCCTCCCGACCGGCCTTGTCAGAATACATTTATTAGTTCTCGCTCTGCATTGATAATGAAATCAAACCTTTTACAATTGTTTTACAGAGTTATATATACCCATCCTCCCGACAAATACCACGTGTTATAACGCTATCGTGACGTCACAGTTTCACCCATCGCCACTGACGTCTCATTTGCTATGTTTTGTAGACCAAGTATCATAATGACATTTTTGTGGAAGATATGATAAAACATTTTTTTTAAAACCGGTTTCTAATGAAAACAGAACTGCATCCTCGTCCTGGTACAAATGTAACACTCGAATACGAGTTACTTCCCTTGCATTGTTATAATTAATTAATGAAGGGACTTAAAACCCGGCTTTTCATAAATTTCTACGCATAATCTGTTGACTTATCCTTTTGCTAATATATGTATAATACAAAGCATTTTTTTCTGTGAAATATCAGAAATTTTATATTAAGTAAATGGTGAAAATATACACTTTTCTGTGTAAGTGTTACTCCCCCTGACTGAGCTCACACAAGCTTGAGATATTTTGTTTTCAATGTGAAAAGGTTTTTTGTTTTCCTGTTAAACATGGTATTACAATACAGACTGTATTCTTCAAATAGTTCGTTCTCTTGTTGTTGTCTGCTACAGTGGTCATCAATATTTTGTTTGAAAAGCAATTGTTAGGATTCTAGGCCTATCATGTTGCGGGGTTGACCGTTACACTATCCAAATCGGCTAACATGTCTAGCTGCCGGGTGCTCCTGAAGTTCAGCAATGCATTAAGTATTACCGATGGCACCTGATCATAGTTAATTAAGCGTTCCGATCAGACGACAGAGAAATATAAGACAGGTATTTGCATTGGTTTTTGCGTTTTTAAAAAGAACTCTGAGCTTATGAATGAATTATAATTCCAACACATGCTATTATGCTGAAAGTCTTCTCGAGTCGGAGCAGGTTTCGTCAGTCACCTAAGCCAGGATTCATTAGGTTACTCGGAATAGGTCTAACACTAGTAACAGCAATTTGATTCTTCACAGACAGGGCTCGTACATTTATTGTAAAAAAACCGAACAATGAATCGATTCAGTAAGACAGTAGTAAATATGTTGTTTATTTAAACAATAACTGGTTGTCTGGATGTAATTATTGTTGATATAATTACAAGTGGCCTCTGGCAAATCCCATAAAACCCGCTAGGGTTTTTTGGTAGATTTGCTAGAGGCCACTTGTAATTATATCAACAATAATTACATCCAGACAACGAGGAATTTTTTATATTTACATATTTTTCTTTTTTAAGACATATTCCTAAAACCATTTGCCCTGCCTCAAAATACATTTCAGTCGGCCATTTTGTTTGTTTACATGTTCCTACACCTGAAACAGGCAGTTGTAATTATAGTCGAGCAGTTGTAATTATAGCCTATATAATTACACTTGCCCTCTAACACTGTTGTAACGGGACGGCGCGGGGGAAAATGTAAATATATACATGTAACCGACCTAAAACCTATATAACGAATTTGTCACACTGCAAATCCTTTCAACATGCTGTAACGTGACGCTACCCCAAATTAATCCAAGTGTACCTACCCACATCTTCGCACAACAGAACTTGTATAAAGAATATGCTATATAAAGAATACGTGAAGGTCTGACGTCGCAGATAGATATCTATGACGTCATATCAACACATATGTCTGGTATAGCCTATACATTGTTGACCCCGCGGTGTGCTCTGAACCAATTGGAATGTGCAAAAATGCAATAATAGTAATAAATGTTAATATCACATTATAATAATAATAAAAGATGGTGGAAAAAGGTATCGTTATATTTACAGATGGTGGTCATGGTTGTGCAAATGACAAACAGTCCTACACGGTATCGCCTAGTATAACTACAAACGAGACAAAATGTTGGGGTCAAATACTAGAAATCAAGTGGAAACAATGACGGTAACGGAGAGAGAAAATCTGTGATGTAAATAGACGGAGCAATGTAATTAACAGACGCCTCCGGATGTGATTATAGTGGAGGTGAGAGTGTAAAGATAGTATTGTTAATATTTTTGGTCGTAAACTGTTACAATTGTGTAAAAGTACCGGCCTTCGGGTATGCAATGGTAGATCGCCTGGTGATAACACGGGTAAATTTACTTTCTACAATCACTTGGGGTCAAGTGTAATTGATTATGTTCTCATACAAAAAGATTCCTTTGGTATGTCACTGAATTTAATGTGCTTGATTTTAATGAATGGTCTGACCATGCGCCAATTAATTTAAAATTTAATATAACATTCAGTCCAATTGAAGCACATGCAAGTGGTGATAATCTTGTAAATAACGTTAAAAGTAATTTAACAATAAATACATATAAATGGAACGCTGTTGAAGAAGCTCAAATGAATAGTAATTTAGATGAGAACATTAATTTATTACATAATATTGTTAATGAAATGCAGTGCTCTGTTGTCTCAGTAGATCACGGTATTGATCGTTTTTCTTTTGTTATAAATGAAATATTTAACCCATGTTGTCAATCTTTTTCTGCTCAACCATATGACAGTAAATTAAAATATCGTGCCCATAAACCCTGGTTTGACGACTGTACAAATTGTATCGACGCAGTTTATGTTCTTTTAATTCCGACAGAACCCCTGCCAACAGGTTGTCTCTTGTCGAATCCAAGCGTAAGTATAAGCGGTATGAAAGGTTGGTTAAATGTAAATATTTTAGATCAGAGGGAGACCGTTTAAGTCTGTTTCGCAGAAAAAATCCTAAACTTTTTTTATCGATATTATAAGAAAAAGTCGGACTGTCCCACAAACCATTTGAATCTTGGAGACTTTTTCGAACATTTTAAAGCTGTAAATAGTGGCCATGATGTTGCTACAGATAATCCAAATACTTCAGACTACGACAATTCACAGATTTATGACGAATTAGATCATCCTATAACAGATAAGGAAGTAATGAGTGTTTTAAAAAGCGCTTAACGATTTTTTTGTCAAACATAAGGAGACATTTGCCCCCATTCTCTCAAAACTATTTAATGTTATTTTTGATATGGGCGTCTTTCCTTCAATATGGTCCAAGGGTATCATTTCCCCTTTGTTCAAAAAAGATGATGCCAACGATACAAATAATTATAGAGGAATCACATTGGTAAGTTGTTTGTCTAAATTATTTACTAGTGTTTTAAACAATAGACTGCCAGGTAAAGAGTACAACATCGTCTCCGATGCCCAATTCGGATTTATACCTGGTTTTGGAACTAATGATGCTATTTTTGCTTTACATGGTATAATTAAGAAAATGCTTTCTAAAAATCGTAAGCTTTACTGCTGTTTTGTTGACTATCGTAAGGCCTTCGATAGTGTGAATAGAAACAAATTATTTTTGAAACTTTTTCATAATGGAATCAGAGGAAAATAATAAAATATTTTGAAATCTTTATATGAAGGTTTAAAGTCCTGTGTGAGATATAATTCTGAATTGTCTGAATTTTTTTCGTACTCACGAGGCTTGATGCAAGGGGAGGGGTTATCCCCCTTCCTTTACTCCATGTATGTGAATGATTTTGAAAATGAACTTATTAATACTTCCTGTGACGCTTTTATTCTTAAGAGATATTTTCTCTTTTTCTTCTTATGTATGCAGATGATACTGTCCTTTTCTCAGAATCTGCCTCTAACTTGCAGAAAATGTTAGACTCCTTTAAACAATATAGCGACAAATGGCAATTGACAGTCAATATGGAAAAAAACAAAAATTGTTGTATTTCGTAATGGCGGAAGATTACGAGCTGGCGATTGTTTTTACTTTAATGGCAATGAAATAGACATTGTTGATAGATTTAATTACCTTGGTGTACTGCTCAGCTTTAATGGTAAGTTTACAAAAACACAAGTTACTATTGCTGAACAAGGTCGTAAATGTATGTATAATGCGTTAAGAATTTGTAACAATTTGTCCCTCAATGTAGAATCTAAACTTAATGTTTTTGATGTCTTTGTTTCCTCCACTCTTAATTACGGTTGCGAAACATGGGGTTTCAATATTGCGGACAAAGTAGAAAAAGTGCATGTTGATTTTTTAAAAAGAATCCTGAATGTAAAAAACAGTACGCCATCTTTTATGGTACATGTATATTCGGATTTAGGACGTCTACCTTTGCATAGCATCAGGACGTGTCGAATAATCAAATATTGGTTGAAACTAATTAAATGCGACAATTGTGTTCTTAAGTCAGTTTATGAAGATATGGATGAATGTAATCACAGAAACTGTAATTGGCGCTGTCAAGGTAGAAATTATTATTGTCTTCTGGTTTTGATAATGTCTGGTTAACTCATTATGTTGATAATGAAAGGGTATTTTTACATTGTTTCAAGCAGCGTGTGACAGATGTTTTATTCAAACAAGGAATGAATTTGCTGAAAGATCATCGAAATGTTATTTGTATAAATTCCTGATAGATAACTTTACGTTATAATTTTATCTAACAAAGTCTATTCCAGATGCGTATCTTAAACTTATTTCGAAATTATGACTTTCATCGCATCAGTTTTATGTAGAAGAAGGTCGGTATCGTAATATTCCGAGGGCGAATAGGTTATGCCATTATTGTAATCAAAACCAGGTAGAGGACGAGTTCCATTTTGTTCTGATTTGTCCACTCTATGTTTATATTCGTAAAAAGTTCATTAAAAAGTATTCCTGGAGCCGCCCATCTTCATATAAACTTGTCCATCTGCTGGCTGTACATAACAGAAAAGAGCTGAGTAATTTAGGAAAATATCTGCAATCAAGTTGGTTAGAACGGTCTAGATTCCAACCTTAGGTTATTGTGTTTTTTATCACACTAACATTTGAGTACTTGTTTATTTCCAGGTTAACACATATTGTTTTGTCCATCTCCTGATCACTACATCACTGTATACAAATTGTATGCCTGTTTTTTGTTTTTTATAATTAACATACTCTTTGTTGAGCCCCGGTTATTAAGAAAATGTTGTCACCTCATCTGTTTTCCGATAGCCATATTACACTTAGGTGAGGTAATTTTATAAGAGCTGTCCATCTTCCGATACTTTATTTATCTTGTACTTTATAATAATTTAAAGAATTATACTGTCCATTTATACATGCGATGTACAAGACTATGCTTCATTCATGATGTTATAATTATTTGGTATTTCATATCACTGATGTATCAATTATACGTTGCTATATATGCTTATGAGCCGTAAGGCTTCAAGTTGAATAAACAATACAATACAATACAAAGGTCAACCAGGATAATTATGACTACATAACATCGGAGTCCCTCGGGGCAGTTCCAGTCTAGTGAAAGCTGGTTATTAAAGAAACTAAGTGGTATCAATTATTGTGAGATGGAAATGTTTACGAAAGACAGATATAAACACAGATTTATTTGAATGTTAACACAGAACAAGAAGTTTGCCTCGGGTAATTTCCTTTGTAATTAACGGTTTCAAAGGGAATGGCATAGATACAATGGCTACTGTGTTCTTATCGAAAGGACAATGTCACACATGAATATTAAATAGCATCTAGTTGGAATAAGGAACACACTTGAAAAACATGTTTAAATATTATTCATAACCCGCTTTCTGCAAAAGCTTTTTGTTTGGTGACAACAATCTATTTTTTTAAAAATAAATTTGAGCGCAAAAAAACCCCCAAAAAAACCCACAAAAAACACAAAACTTAATCGGAACTCTTTTATATAAGTTTTACTGTACAGTAGATATAAGCTGTATGTGGTGTACAGAAGTTGTACCTATCTGGTTATGTTGTGATTATTGTGTTGTATACGTTACTCCTTCCTTTAACAATCTAAGAGATGTTTGTAGGTATCTCTCTATTCTCGTCTTTCGTCCTACATTACCTCTCACTTTATACAATATTGAAATATGTTGTTTTTGTCATTTGTTGTCATTTGTATGCATTGTTGTGAATATTTTCGAGTGTTGCTCATCGAACTTTCTATCAAAGAAACATATTTGAAGAAGTTTCCTGACTTGTTAAAGGAGTTTTTCACATTTTTGAACGTTATATTATATATTTGTTCCGTGGCAATACTGATATAATATGTTTAGGCTGAAATGGTATTCCATGATAGATGTATTATCAATACCTCCAACAACAGGTAATCTCCATAGAATTAATGATAAATTAAATGAATTATTAAATAACAATACGACAATGTAACCAATAACGAAACTAAAGACATTGTAAATTCAATTAGTGAATTGTTCAAAGGCTCTGCTTAGCAGGATTTTGGTAGCAATAATGCTTACAGGAAACAGAGGTTGAGGGGTGATAATAAGCCTTGGAATAATAGGGAATGTCACTTAAACAGAGTTGAATTTAATAAAGCCAATGCCATATTTCACAAAGTAAATAATTTAATAAATCAAACTAATCTCAATAGAGCTAGTAAATTTATAAAAAAAATCATTGAATAAAAGAAATTATCAGGAGAAATTGTCAACCGAGTTAAGATATACTGCTAGAATGGATTCAAAACAATTCTGCAATATTTTGAATAAATGTGACGGATCTGTAAAAAAAGGTAATGCTGATATATGTATTGCTGAATTATATGAATACTTTAAGATCTGAACAAGTCTGTCCTTGATGATGACGATTTTGAGCTGGAAAATCCTGATAATAATATTTTTAATGATTATCTGAATGGTGAAGTCACCGCTGATGAAATAAATTTTTCTTTAATCGATTTGAAAAATAGTAAAGCTTCTGGTATAGATCAAATCCTAAACGAATATCTAAAAAGTACAATGGATGTATTTTTACCTAATTATCAAAAAATATTTAACTTTATTTTGAATAGATTGGTATTATAAAACCAGTATACAAAAACAAAGGCGATACCAAAGATCCGGATAATTATAGAACGATCACTTTGGTAGCGTGCATCGGCAAAGTGTTCACTTCGGTTATTAATAATAAAATAGAGAGAAAAAATTTAACTTTACTTCAACAAATAAAAATGCAAGGATTATTTAATATATTTAATGTAAAAATTTACACAAAAGTTTGTAGATTCCTAGTAAAGCTTGACAAAGTATTAACTTAATTTCTGTACAAGGTTGTGTTCTTTCTCTATGTAACTATGTTATAGTCAATTATTATTATTTGCAGAAAATGTTGTTACTGTGTACTTATCATCACATGCCATGTGTCATATTTACTATAGGTGTGTGACTTCTTGTTACACAAGTAAGTGTGTCGGAGTGAATGAATAAAACTTGAAACTTGAAACTTTAACAACTTCACATCCAGACAAACAGGAACAAAGGAAGACATAAATGGCATTCAACACATACAGTAACTAAAATGATAATTGTCTGGCTATATATATTTCCGTTTTATAAACCGTATAACGGGATATTTACTCGGGCTTAAATTGAGACGTTTTGACCAACATTATAAAATTTAATGCACACGGATCATACTTCCGCATTCAAGTTATTGACCCGCAAAATCGAGAAAATATCATCCCCACAGAAATATCCTGATATACGGTATTACTCTATCAAATACCTATCATCAATCATAAAAAATATACGTTCATTACAATCGATTTTTTGATTATAGTGTACAATGTAAAGATAACAATGTAAGAATCAACCACTTTGAAATAATAAACAAACCTACCCTGGGTTAATCACAAACCCGATTCCTACCATCTTCTCCTGTTGTCGTTGCACAGAATGAATTCATACAGACGGAGTACACGATTGGGTATATAACATCGAGCTAGTCACACTAAAAGGGCCCCGCTCACTATTTCAATTACATCTCGTAACACAGATAAAGACATTGCCCTGCAGATATATACACACTGGTAATGTAAGTACCTACGGCCTCGGCAGAAAGACTACAATTGACATATACTCTTGAATCAATCTGTTTCGTCATATTGTCAGTTTTTTCTTTAACAGCCGTTACCACAGTTTGTAAGGATTGAATCCTGTTCTGCTGAGGTTAATGACGTCTAAACCTCAATGGATCCTAGTACACATTTTATTAACTGCGAAACACTTTGTAACGTTTATTATCATCGCCCAATGCGATTTGTATACCATAAAACTCCACAGAACAAAATTCGATCCTTATTTTACACAGGATTTTGAGATTTGATACCTTTTTAAAATTTCTATTATATCGTACTTGTGCAAGTCTAATACCATCGGAGGCGCCGAGAAAGTTATCGTAGTAACAAAACTAGTTAACTAGTATCGATTACGACGTTTAAAAATTTATAACAGGCATGATCCGGTTAATGGCGGTCATGTTTAAAACGTCTCCGAAGAAATTTCAACTATATGTATATTTTCCGGAAGGATGAATTCTTTTCAACAAGGTATTTTCGTTGTTTGACTATCATGTTTGAATTGCAATCTTCATTCCGTGATATTTGTGTGCGCTGTTAGTTGGCATTTGGGAAAATCTGTACCGTCCTTGTATCACTAGCTGTCGTGCATACTATATACGACTCAGTGAACTGGGCCGTTTTCGTTAAAACGGTCAAACCGATCGGACCACTGTTGTTCGTTTATTAAATAAGGTCTGACCTAGCAATCTGATGCTGCTTTCAGGCGAGCCTTGAAAAAGCCTTGCAAGGCCTGCATACACATTTGCAGGTCCACCAGTATTTATACCCGAACTTTTTACATTTATAAACGGTCAAACCGGTTGTTCCGCATACACGAACAAGCCCCTGGTCATCGCCGAAACTTCGTCACGCCCTGATGAACTTACCTGTTTGCGTGGGATAGGCGCGTACCTGAATGTATGCGTGGGTAGCGTACGAGGCTCCATACGAGTGACCCTTTCATTTGGATTCATTTGTTTGGAATCTTGTTCTATAGAGGAGTGTTCTTATACAACTCAACACCATGGCCCCAAATTCTACATCCAATGAACCTTCTTCCAATAAAATGACTTCTAGTAAATCCACTTCAAATATCGTTGGTGAGGCGCACAGAGTGATATATGAGGATATATCAGAGGAGTCCACGGTGGTAATGAACCACATGGCTGACTTATTCAACAGGTTGGACACTCGTCTTACACATATTGATAGTCAAGTTGTTAGGATTGATCACATCCAAAAGGATATGACTTCTCTGACCACTAAAGTTCAACTTTTAGAGCATGAAATGAAGGACATTGACGTCAAGAATAGGAAAATTCGAGATTCGGTGTCAGAGGTTGTTTCGAAGTCGAAAGAAATGGAAAAGAGCGCCCAGGTATTGAGTGAAATGTACGATGGTGTTAAGAGCAGTGTGGATTGTAACACCTCCACATTGGCCAATATGAAGAGTGCTGATGACAAGCATGTGATTGACACAGCAGCTATTTGTGGCGAGTTGAAGGAGCTGCGTTCAGAGAGGACTAATCTTCAGGAGCTAGTGTTAGATCTTCAATGCAGGTCAATGGCTACAAGGTGAATATCCGGGTGAAGACACGGAGGGTACGTTGCGCGACTTCCTGTACTATGAACTTGGTATAGAGGCGAATATAGATTTCGGTAAGGTTCACCGATTCGGGAAGTTTGTGGCTGATAAGCATCGGCCCATCGTGGCAAGATTTGTCACCATAAGGATCTGGAGCTTGTCCGAGTCAACTCGTACAAACTGAGGTGTAATAGCTTTTGGATAAATGAACAATTTCCGTCTGAAATTGAGGAGCGGTGTCGTAAGCTATATCCAGTGATGAAACAACGTAAAAGTGCTGGCTGCAAGTTTAAGTTGGTGCGCGATCGGCTATATGTGAATGGCAGGCTGCATGAGTATTCTTCGCCGGAAGTGACTATGGAGGCAACCCCTTCTTACCGCGATGCGTTGGACAGGACCCCGACTTCCGGTCAACGAGAATCCAAACGGAGGCGGAGATTCACTGCTACACCAACCAGCTCTTCGAGGCAGGTGTGTCGGGGGGTAGATTACATTGACAGTCCCCTAACTGACTTAACTGAACATGCCGTTAACAGTACTGGTATCAAAATCCTTTCATGGAATATAAATGGTGGCCTAGATAACAAACTGCGTGTAACCGAATTCCGGAATTTCATATTTGCTTATGACATTATATTTTTGTCGGAGTGCTGGATTCCAAATGACTTTAAGCTGGAGCTGGATGAATACGAATCAGTTGTACTACCTCGACAATTAACGCGAAGTACGCAAGGTGGTGGAATTGTCATTCTTGTACGCAATACCATAGCTAAGTTTGTTGATGTAGGTTAGGTTTTGTTTGATACCATTATCCCGGTAACAGGTGACCAATGTTTAACCACCCATACAAACGACACAGTGTTGATATTAACATATATTCCACCCAGCTCGTCCAATTAATACCAGTTATATAAATGTGATATTTTCTAAGTTCTAGAAAATATCTTAATCGAATATTCTGTACATAAAAATGTGATGGTGCTTGGCGATTTCAATAGTCGTACTCGTACTTCTAATGATTTCCTTTGTTTGGATATTATACATGATCGGATTCGTTCACATATTGAATCTGTGTTAGTTTATACTAGCGATAGTGATGAGGAACGCCTGTTACCAGTTAGAAAAAAACCTGGTCCAGGTGCTAAAGAATTTGGCACTAGGTTACTTAATCTGTGTAAGTCTTCTGGCCTTAAAATTATGAACGGGAGATATTCTAATGATCTATCTAGGGAGTTTACTTTTTGTGGCTCAAATGGAATGGGTGTAATCGATTACCTTTTAATACCTTTCTGTCTTTTTCACATTGTTAACAAATTTCAAGTTTGTAATTTTACTGAATTCTCTGACCACGCACCTTTACATGTGGAAATGTGTTCCATTGTTCTTTCTAAGGGATCAGAATTAGACGAGCAAGACTTGGAGAGTAGACCTTCATATAAATAGAGGGATGAATATAAACATCAGTTTATGGAAGCTATAAGTGTTCATTCAGATAGCTTAAACAACTCGGTTGTTATTACTGAGGAAATAAATCAAGACTCTATTGATTAATGTACATGTGTTGACACTTTTACAAACACATTGCAAGGTATTATGGAACCCTTCTTTCTAAAGAAACCACCTGATATGTCTATGACCAAAGCCACGCCCCCTGTTAATGTAAATGTTACTGTTTCCAGTAGAGATAATAAACCCTGGTTTAATGATCGTGTAAAAAAATGCGTAATTCGCCATTATTGACAGGCGAGCAACTATATGATCATTTTAAAAATGTGTCAAATGTACAAAACGACTCAATTCAACAGGACAACATTTTTATTGATAAAGATATTATGTATGATGAATTAGATGCACCGATTCTTTTTAATGAAGTAAGATCTGTTATTCGAAATTTGAAATTTGGCAAAGCCCATGGACTGGATGGTTTGTTAAATGAATGCTTTATTAACTGTGAAGAATTACTCCTTCCCAATTTGTGTATGTNTAGATGCTATATTTGCATAACATACTATTATAACAAAAACATTGTCATCTAGGAAAAGATTGTATTGTTGTTTTATAGATTTTCGCAAAGCGTTTGATTTTGTCGACAGGTTAAGCTTATGGCGCAAGTTGACTAGGCTTGGTATTCGAGGGGAAATGTTGTCTGTTATTAAGTCGCTTTATAAATCAGTCAAATCCTGTGTTTCAATTAATGGGAAATGCTCTAACGTTTTTGAAAACATTGTCGGTTTATTGCAAGGGGAAATTTTGTCACCATTACTGTTTTCTCTTTTTATCAATGATTTTGAAATGTCCTTTATTGAAAACGGTGCAACATATTACGACTTCGGTGAGTTAAGTTTGTTTCTGTTAATGTACGCAGATGATTTGGTATTTTTTTTGGAATCTGTACAGGGTCTGCAGACTCTTCTCGATAGCCCTTTAGAATACTCTACAAAATGGAGTTTAGCTGTAAATACGGAAAAAACTAAAATTGTAGTTTATAGAAAAGGTGGAAGATTACATAATGATGAAAAATGGTATTACAAAGGAAGTAAAGTCGAATGTGTGGATCAATTTCCTTACCTAGGTGTTATTCTAAATAACAAGAATAAATTCACTTCCATCCCAAAACAATAAGCTATCCAAGAACGAAAAGTTATGTTTGCATTATTTTCAAAGTGTACATCATTAAACTTAAATGTAAAAACTATGCTTCACCTTTTCGATACATATGTAAGCAGTATCCTTTTTTATGCAAGTGAATTAGAATGATGAAATGTTGGTTTAAGATCTTAAAATCTGAAAATATTTCCACTTCCTATACATTTTTTTTTATTAAAATGCTGTAATAAAAATGATTTCAACTGGGCTAAAGCAATAAGAGATGAATTGAATAATCTAGGTCTTAGTGGTGTTTGGTTTAATCCATGTGTTTCTCAGCAAAATGTGTTATTACCATTGATAAAACAAAGAAGTTTTGATCAAGGCATACAATCCCTAAGGGCCTCAATGGAAAACTCTCCAAAATGTTTATTGTATAAAAAATATCATTGATTTTGGAGAATCATTACCATTTTACCTCACAAAATATATACCAATGAAATATCGCATTTGTTTAACTCGAATCCGTACATCTACACATTCTTTGGCTGTGGAAGTTGAAAGGTATAATAATATACCTAGAGAACGTAGATATTGTAAACCTCTGAAGTAGTGGACGAATTTCATTTTTTATTAGTCTGTTCTAAATTCCAAAATCTCAGATCACGTTTTATCAAAAGCTGTTATTGGAAAAAACCATCTGTGTTTAAAGCCGTTCAGTTATTGAGTGTCCATAATATGAGTGTATACTAGGAAAATTCATCTATGAGGCAAACAAATTAAGGGTATTATAATGGAATATGATTGTCTTCATTCTCTGTACATTGTCCATGATTTGTGTATAATATGTATTGTATACTGATGGGCTAATGGCCTAAAGTTCGAATAAAACTTGAAACTAATTTAATCGGCAACTTCTGAAAATGTACACAGGTATAAAGGTGTGTCTTGGGCCTCCTGCTGTCAGCACCGGACACAGGTGTTTAGTGTTATTTACCTGTACACAAATTTCACACCTAAGTATGCTAGGATCGAGATGATGTTCATTATTTAACCAAGATGTTGAATTATAACTTGTATAAGCTACATGTATAGGGAGAAACAAAAATGTTTGAATCTCATAATTCAATTATATTATCGAGATAAATGTAATCATGGAATTAGATAATATAAGTAAAGTCCGTGATCTAATTCAGCATCGCATACCTAGGTACTGTATTGTATACAATTAAATGTGTAACTGTCGGTATTTTGCTGTTTATTTGAATTGTCGACCTAACACAAGGAAGACACAATGTCGGCGATTTGTCATTATACGGTTATACTAAAAATATTTACTTTTAAAAACAGCAGACACTAACGTAGATGTTATGTTGTAAACATTTTTCACTGATATTTTTCCGTATTTTTGGACCGTAGAGGTACCACAGAATATTCCTGCACAGAAACTGGTCACGATGTAGTGCTGTTCATTGGCGACATGATTGGATAAGTTATCATTGTAGAGCAGAGACATATATAGTATAATTATTTCAAACAGACTTTCCAGCTTAAATTAAGAAATATCTTTGATCAACAACATTAAGACTTTTTCTGTTTATTTTCCCTCAAACTCGTTCATGCAATGCTACCACTCTATGTTACCCTATTCAAAGTCGTCAGTTTGGTTTCAATTAAACTCACTGTCTGGTAATTCTGGCATTTTTTATGACTGGATACCATCTACATAATGTTGTATTCAGCATAATCTAATTCCTCAAAACTAAAACAATATCAATTCGCAATCTGATGCTGTATGACTATTCAATTGTGACTGCTACAGGCGTTGAACCTGTGACGTCAATGCCGATAGGGTGCTAATTAGTAGAAGACGGACAGGTGAAAATCGTACAATTTCCACGTCAATATCTCGGTATTGGGATGATCGATTTGTATGCTGTTTTCGACATTTTTGTGTTTGGATCATATAGAATAATAATATATTAATTTCTATTTTCGTTCAGAGTACACTTTAAGGTGACTCCACACATCGTCATCAGCGTCCATTTTCGTGACGTACTTCCGGAAAAAGTACAGCTCGGACTCCAATCGGGAACCGTCGGCACTTTCCGTAAACGAGAAAATATGTAGGTAGCAGAGTACAGTAGAAATGGCTTGACCCAAAACATATAAGGCATGTCTCGGATAAACATGGATAGCGGATTCATCCTGCACAACACACCTACATATATATATATATTAATAAACTACATTTTGAATACGGGCTTTTTAGAAGAACGATTTTTTTTCAAAAGGTGATTTCCCCAGGTTTGGGACTTGTGAAAACCATGGTAACCACATCAAATAACACTAAAATATGCAAAAGATCATGATTTTTAACCCAGAATTTGACCCCCGCAAGTAGAATTGTTTTTCTTTAAACCTGTCTGAAATTAAATATCGCCTACTCGGTAACAGAAATACTCACGTTTTAGCATAGGTCATTCCGGTGGATTTTTCACAATATTTGCACATGTGCTGAGTACAAAAATAGACTACATGAAAAGCTAGCTTTTGTTGTGTAGACACAGATTTGTAAATGCCCAAAATTGTAGTCTCATACCAAATTCGATTTTTTTTGTTGAAAAATTATGAAGCCCACATAGTCCACTTCATCATGTATATGCAAGTTTTAGTGATTTTTTTTAAAAAATTTGATACATGTTATATTACAGGGGTCATTCATTGTATAAAAATATCACCCATGGCCACCGTACGCTACTGTACTCTGCTACCTTAATATATAAAAGTATTTTCTCGTTTACGGAGAGTGCCGACGGTTCCCGATTGCTCGGACTCAATTAATTTGATCAAAATGTGCATGTACACCGGGTCGCCATTTCCGTAATGCGTATCGGGCATTCAATATCGTAGTGCAAATTATAGTAACAGCAGGGCCGTTTTCGTTTAAACGGTCAAACCGATTGGACCACTGTTGTTCGTTTATTAAATAAGGTCGGACCTAGTAATCCGATGCTGCTTTCAGGCGAGCCTTGAGAAAGCCTTGCAAGGCCTGCATACACATTTGCAGGATTTATACCCGAAATTGTTACATTTATAAACGGTCAAACCGGTTGTTCCGCATAAACGAACAGGCCCCTGGTAAACATCTCAACACCCGATGTCGAGATTTTACCGGGAAATGTATAATCACACGTACTTCAGGAATAAAGCTTTCAAATTCATAGACATAAACAGACTCACGGGAACACAGTGATATGAGACCAGACGACCTCAAGAAGGTCATATAGGAAACACACGGAATGCGGACGTATACCGACCTCACATGTGCATATCACGTGCTTACACGAGTTCATAAGCTCGAGTTCGTTACGATTTTCGCTGTTGAGGGAGTTTCGCTCTTGCGATTAAATTGTGTTTACAAATGTAGTCTACTTACTCTGTGAAAATAATGTTTTGTAAAATATCAAGATACCTATGAAATACATGTGTGAGTGCACGTGAGAACACCATACCATGCGATAGCCTCCGGTCACATATGTACCTGACATGTAATTATAAATATATCGTGAGTTAGCGGACTGTGGAATTATGTCCAAAGTGTACATGAAAGAGGGTAATTTGGTTCCATTAAAGAACAATAAATTGATAATTTTGATATCATATTTTTGATTTATTTCCATCATTTTTGTTATATGTAAACACAGACAACTGTCATTGTGAAAATGTCATCCCTCTGCAAAAAGTTCCGATTTTTTTCAAGGAAGATAACTCTCACCCGGATCAAAGTGATTGGAAAATGTAAAATAAATTAATAATAAAGCCATTGAGTATATTTTGTTAAATTTCCCATTCTATATGTATAGATCTTTGTGTCCTGTTTGCTTTTAGCTTGTAGATAATCACTTTTATCCGTACAAATTCAATAAAAACACTTTTTGTAACATGTGTTTCATATTTTGCGATAAATAAAATCTTTGTAGGGTTAATTAGAAATGCTTCTTTACATTTTATTATTGTTGTTATTGTTCCGAACAATGCCACACACAGAAAACCCGGAAAATATTAAAATTGACGAAAGTTCAATTTTTTATCGGAATGTTTAGATTTTCATAAAATCAACTCTACATAGTTGCATAACCATTATATGAAAGTTTTAACGAATTTTGCTGGTTAATTGCGAAAGTGTGGAGCCACCTTAAGCGATAACCTGATACATTGAATAACCTACATTATGTATGGCGTCAATCATAAGCAATTTAAATAATACGGAGCAACATCCTCAATAATTATAATTATAATAATTCAAGGTTCTTATATACCGCTTTATCACAACCTAGTTCGTAGGTCGTCTCAAAGCGGTTCACAAACTATTATCCGTTGTTATAGGGCTTTTGCAACTAGCCAATACCTTTCTCAACTCCCTGGGGAGCATACAGCCGAAGCTGCTATTTCGGCGCTAACAGCTAACCACGTACTCATTTACAGCTGAGGAGACTGGAACAAGCGGAGTGAAGTATCTTGCTCGAAGATACAACACAGTGCCGTGCCGTGACTCGAACACGCAACCCTTCGGTCACGAGCCCGGTGTCCTACCACTAGACTACTGTGCCTACATAAGTGGAAGACACTAACACACAAGATTTCGAATCCAACAACGCGAAAATATAGCGCAAGTTTTGTTGAATATATACGTAGCTCAATTTCATTAGCAGCAATGCAACGTCTAGTTATTTTATAATATTAACTTTAAAAACACTCAATGTTCAATCATTTCTTTATTGAGATTAGGAACTTTACTTTGTCAATGACAAAATTGTATTGCTGTCGAAAGAGGAAGCGAGTAAGTATTCTGTTATTCAAAGTTTATTCTCCACTGTCCAGTCGGCTGTAATTTTATCCGCGCCCAATGGTCCTGTCGCTGTTCTTCCCTGAGTCACACTGTATCTGACAATTATCCAGTTCAATCTCCGTTTTACAAGAATCGACGGCTGCCCATAGTTCCATAAAGTGTGACGAAATCCCTATGGACATTTGCCGGTAAAGGGCGTATATGCTTCCCTGGAAACACTTGTTACTCTCTGATATACCCTGTACATATTGTTTGCATTCGTGTGTACAAATATCGAAGGGTTTGCAAAGTTTCTTGAGGTTTTTAAAAAGGGTAATGGATTCTGGGTTAAATGGATTGGCAATTTTTTTTAAGTTGCAGCCGTTAACCAACGGGAAGTCTGATGCAAATTCTCGTATTTTACACAAATCTATGTCCTGCATTGACCAGCACGAATCTCCATTTAGGTTTTGAGCTGGGAAGACAAACAGAAAGCCTATACACATTTCATCTGTAGTTCCCCCTCCTATAAACGTCGTCCTGTCTTTACCAACAGTTCTGTAAGTACAAGTTACCTTGATTTCATCTCCCGGCTTGAATTCGATAGGAGTCTCCAATCTATGGTAATAAAATAATTTTTGATTAGAAATAAACATTTTTCCTTCTGATATGTATGTTGTTATATTATTTGTTATATGAAATCCGGGTCATGGAATGGATGCGGGGCTACATTGACTCTGACTCTGTAATCTGAACGTTTAGCTTAATGAAATAGTGGTCGTACAATTATCTGGCTCCAGATTCATGAACGTTTCCTAACGTAACTAAATTCGATAACTTGAAATTTTCCATAGGAGAAAGCCTTACTGGAGCCCAGGGAAAAGATTATATAATTTAAGCGTTTTTTAACTCCAATAATGTATTCTTATGAAAACAAATCAGTTATAGATTTTGTATAGGTTAAGGAATGTTCGTGAAATTTTAGCGGGATTTATCAACCACTCATAACTAGGCAAAGAATTGATTAAATATGCATTTGTATTGAAAAAAAGAGACCTCCTCCTCCCTAATAATAAATAATAATAATAATAATATACAACATTTATATAGCGCCCTATATAATTTGTAAAATTACTCTAAAGCGCTTTACAACATATGGATAATAGTAAAGGTTATAATTGTGAAAACAAAAAACAAAGGCTTACAATCACTTTTATATATTTATGCAAGCAATGTGCACATAATTGAACAAATAAAAGGGTGGTATTTACATGACGTCTTTGCAAAGATTCTAAAATGCAGACGTGAAGAGGTGAGTTTTGATGTCCTTCTTGAACTTGGCCAGGGTATTTGACTTTCCAATAGCAGATGGTAAGTTATTCCACAACGTAGCCAAAACCCTCCCAAAGCATATGTTTCCGTAGGTCACAGTACGAGATTTTGGGACACACAACAAAGATTCTGACTCCGACCGCAGTGATCGTGACGGCTGATACAGGGTAACAAGCTCCTGTAGGTACTAAGAAGCTGTTTTATTCAGTGCCTTGTATATGTACACCAGACATTTGTACTGCGACCTGTATCGTACAGGTAACCAGTGCAACGAATAAAGCACAGGTGTGATGTGCTCTCTCTTTGGAGTACGAGTAACTAACCGTGCTGCAGTGTTCTGGACCCTCTGCAGACGACTAGTTAGTTTGTCAGATATACCACAGAGCAGGGCGTTACCATAATCCAACGGAGAGGTAACAAGTAAATGCACCAAAATCTTGCATGCACCTGCAGTTAAAAACTGCCGAATACAACCGATGTTCCTGATCTGGTAGTAACAGGATTTGGCAATAGCGTTCACTTGTTTCTCCATGTTCTGTGAACTATCAAAGTATACCCCTAGGTTTTTAACAGCTGAAAAGTCTCAACAGTTCTGGCACCGACCTTGAGCTGGAGAGCCATTGTTTGCTGACACTGTTTCAGAAAAAGTTGAACAACACGGACTTTGAAGTGTCTATCTGATAGGTAATTAGATATAAAATGGGTAAAACGTGTTATCCATAGCAGAAGCTATATCATTATGTACACGTAGGAGGGCCGTCTCAGTAGAGTGTCCCATGCGGTAGGCCGATCGCATGTTGTCATGGAGACTGTTTGCATGGAGATGAACCTCTAAACGCCGGGACACAACCTTCTCCAAGATATTAGACAAAAAAGGCAGATTTGAAACTGGGTGGTAGTTTTTCAACTCCTCCTTGTCCATTCCAGGCTTCTTTAACAATGGTCTGACATGTGCCTTCTTGAAACATAATGGAACCTTTGACTCAGCCAATGATTTGTTCATGATTGAGGTAATCAAAGGAAGCAGTGATTCAAGACATTGCTTTAATACCTCTGAAGACAGTGAATCAAGCTCACAGGACTTTGATTGCGAGGACATGATAATATTGCGCAACTCGTCATGGGTTGTTGGTGAGAGCTTTGCCAATGGTTCCCCATCAAATGCAATGTCAGCAGTCATGACAGAGATGTCAATGTCAGCAGAGGTGTTCACTTCGGCAATATTTTTCCTGATTGAGCTGATTTTATTCAGAAATTAATCACTGAACTTGCTTGCTAAGTCTTTTTTCACAATTACAGCTTGGTAGGATAATTTCACCTTTCTGTCCTATTAGGTTTTTGGTGAGTCTAAAAACCTGTCTATTATCCTTGCCGCATTCTTCGATTCCTTCCGAATAATCAGCCTTCTTTGACCAACTAGCCGACATTGCTCTCTATAAATCTGTTGGTGAACGGTTAATTTGGTCCGTCGCCACTGTCTCTCTGCTTTTCTACGGTTCTGTTTTTCTACGCGTAGATTTTCATTATAGCACTGGCCATTTGGTCTCACAGTTATCACCTTAGTTTGCCGAGGTGCGTGTTTATCTATGAGGGCTTCTATACCAGATGTGTATGCTTCAACAAGATCATCAACCTCGCCTTCAGTAGATTGTAGGGCGGAACAAGACTGAATGTCATTGTTGAAATCTGGTATTGAAATTTCGCGGAATTTTCGAAAGCTCATTTCTTTCCTTGCATGAGCTGTCTTACTACAATTCAGTGTTGTGTGGACAGCAAGATGATCACCGGATTGGTTCCCCTTTACATCACTTGGACATGGATCAAGTACTGAAATAGCTCCATGAATGACTGAGTTATCTTCCCTCGTTATGACCACATCAAGTGTGTGGCCATGTGTGTGTGTAGCTTCTTTCACATGCTGAATCAGACCCCTGGAATCTAGTAGACCAGAGAACTGGCGAGCATCAACATTAGATAGATCGTCTATGTGGAAATTTAGATCACCCGTGATAATAATCTCTTGTGGTACAACAACTTGGTGGTCTAAAAAGGTAGACCATTCATCAAAAAACACTGTATTTCGGAAAGCATTCTGTTTAGATGGTGGAGGCCTGTAAATGATACACAATCTAAATTGTTTATCACCAGCAATGACAGAACAAGTCATGTGCTCAAAGTGTGTGTACAGTGTATACATCATCATGGCTGGAAGAGAGATGTCTCACACTTAGGCCTTTCTTAAGCAGAACAGCCATCCCACTACCACGTTTGCCGAGTCTAGCATTGTGGTGGAATGCATAGCCTGTTGGTATTAGCTCAGCTAGGACCTGGTCATCGATATCTGAACCTAACCAGGTTTCTGTCAAATCAAGAATGTCATTGTCCTGAGATGTTACAAAATCCCCAATGGACAATGACTTATTCTTCACTAATAAAAAAAAGTCAAATATATTATCCAATCCGACACATCTCGACCCCTGGTAGATGAAGACGATACTTTCCTATGTTTTGCTATTTGCACACCGAGTCAGTAAGTCAACAAAGCGAGTAAATGTCTTGTTATATGTCACTCTCAATATCTCAAATCTGCATCAATTTATGAATTAGCTACATTCTATTGTTAGTTAATGATGAAATTATTGAACTATTTTCACTGCCGTTTTATCACTTGATGCCATTTCCCGGCACGTCCTGTAAAATCCCCGCAAAGTTGAATTTGAAAAATAATCTGATGTTTCGAATCCATCCAACGAATATAACGTACATATGCATTATAGGCTCGTCAGTGTATACGCTGATCACGTGTAGGAAATGGACAAATTAGTCAAATGGTATAAAATGACAGCTATAATGGCAGACTTGATATTAAATTATTGATAATTTTTACTATAACATAAGATAATTATCATTATAGACCAGGTTCGTTTGGGTAATATGTCCATTCGCTCATTCGGCGTAAAACTCTACAAGGTTAGCGCGGGTAAAGGAGGGAAGCCGCCAGTGATATATGGACCTATTAGTTAGGTAAGTAAGAATAACGGGATAAGCGAATACTGAATTAATAAGCAATATCTGTTTATCTGACACAGTGAATAGGGGTAATATTAATAATACACAATAAATCAAAATACTCAAACCAATTTTATAAAACAAATAACACAGCGAAGTTATAACTAATAAAACATAATATATACATAATGTAGATGTATACATGAGCACATATAAGTAATACACCGACCCCTGAGTATCCTCCCACAACCAACCCCTCCCAACCCATCTCCGGTCCATACAACTAGCACTCGATACAGCCCATAAATATCTTGGCACATTTCTTTGATACCCATCATTTCTTTCAATCTCCAACCCTTCCAGCTCAAAACAATGTTATAACCAAATAATAACACTAACGTTACCCCACCCCCACCCCGTTTTTCTCTTTTCCCATACTAATAATCACACTATACACTAAAAATCATAAAATGTCGGAACGATGAACAGAATTAAGTGAAAGACAAGACGAAATTTTGTAAGAAAGAGGACATTGGTCAGCTATATTTTCAGTGACGAATGATGAGGAGAGGATTACATTGAACGGACAACAAAAAACAGCACATGCATGACTCTAACCACTAGCCACTAATGCACAGTCCGTCGGATAGGACTATAAATGGTGGCCCGTGTGAGAACTGTCCAATCTCGCACGAAAAAGGTCCCTCTGAGTTTTTCGAAAAAAAGGCGCGTAAATGCCGGCACAGAGGATAGGATAAGCTTTATTCCAAATTTTTGGCCGTTAGAACTAGGGTATCTTTATTAAGACATTTATAAGGACTTTAAATTACATATTATACAAACCAAATGTATAGAATAGTTAGGAGCTGGTGTTAATGTTGGCGGCTTTCTGCCTCACTACCGGTCCAGACTTGGTGTTGCTAGTGTTAGGATAAGGCAGCATTAGACCTCGGAGCCGTCTTGTAAAAAAATAGACTTATACAGTAAATACATATAGGACAGACGGCTCCTTCTCTAACCTGTCCCCCTCTTCTATCCCTTCACTCCATACTTTATCCGTTCTACTGATTTTCCTATCTTTTGCTGGATAACCGAACTACTCGGTAGTGAAGCGGACGTAAAACTTATCAATCAATCAATCAATTAATCGGCAGACTTGATATTAAATATAGAGATTTTACTATAACATAAGATAATTATCATTATAGACCATGTTCGTAAATCAGGGATATACCTCACCTGAAGTCCACGATTATATAATATTTACTTACGAAAATTCAACGAACTTATCGTAGGCATATGTGTCATCGTTTGTTATATCCCTGACCAGCAGCCCGTCTCTATATAGCTGGATCCTTTCTTTTCGTCCTGTTTAATTGGAAAAGGGTGTTTAATTATTTAATACTTATGATATTCAGTTAATAATTAAGGAAAATTATTGAAGTTTCTCCGACATCATTATTGCTTGTTTTTATGTTTGGTACATTACATCAATAGCATCGGAGATCGAAGAATCAAAACCTGGCCGACTTAGTGAAAGGCAAGTGCGCCATGCACTGCGCCGTCCGATCATCCGATCACAAGTAGAGAAGGACCAGTATCACAGGACCATTTGTTCAGCATTTGCGGCGCAACAACTATAATACATATATGAATTATTTTGTATATGTTGTTTTATAAAACATTCTTTATCTACATATAAACATAAAAATTAAAAAAAAAATGCGTAGAGTTGCTGCACATAACAGTGTTATTGTCTGCATAACACGAACTTCAATCGGTTATATTTACATTTGCCCTCCCTATTTTCCATGAAGGATGTACACCTCTGAGAAGTCAAACAAATCCTGTATTAAACGTTTTTTCTTATATGGATTTTTGGAAAAAGGAGTTAATGGCATAGTAGAAAATGCCAAAAACTGTATGTCCGTGTGTTCGTTTTTGTTCTATAATCGGTCAAATATACCAAATTAACACAACATGTGATTTTAGGTGATTGTTTGGGTTTTGACCATCTGCAGAACAAATTCATACCATTTCTTCCAAGTGTGTTATCAGATATGTATGAATGTTTGTACAATTGATGAAAATATTATTTTCTATTTAATTATGGAAGTAAAATTTCTTAATCTTATTATTTTAACTCAGTAAGCCGATTTTAGTTACCCCTACCTCTATTTTTTTACCATTTTTTGCAGATTAAACGCTTGATATAAAAAGTTCTGCTATTAAACTTTTTTATTAGTATTCAATGAATCAAAAGAAATTGTGATTCTCTTTCTAAAACATCCACAAATATGGGGGGGTCCGTGTGCTTCTTTTTTTGTTCCATTATCATTTGTGTTATTGTTTACCTTTTCGGAGTCAAAAATCAAAAGTGCTTCAGTTACATTAAATATGTAAAAAAATATCAATAATGTATAATTTTCCAGTTTGTTGCATATTATTTTTATCATATTAAACATGATAAAGTTGTACACCAAAATTGAACCTGCTAATGGTGACACAATGACAACTTAGGTGATCAATCTAGTGTCAAAAAAGGTGATTTTTTGCCTTTTTTGAAGCGAAAGAAATACACATTAATACAAATTTTCAAAATGGCCGCCGAATTGGTTATTTTTTTTAATTCTTGTAAAATAGTTCTACAAACAACAGGCATCTAGTTTTTTGATATATTTTGCAGATGCGTGTTTGCTAATAAACTTGACCATGATTTGTTAAATATTACAAAAACCCGTTACACCAGATCAAAACTCTATGGAAAGTCCAGTAACATCTGGTCACATGACCACTGTTTCCGTGACGTAATGGTTAGTAACCACCACCACCATTACAGCGACGTCACACAATTTGTACGATAGCCGCCGTCTTGTTGTTGTCGTTTGGTTCATACAAGTCGAATTTTGACGGGTTTTGCAGACAATGAAGACATCCAGAAAAGGACGGTTAGTTCTTACTTTTGTATTAGAATGATGTTCTGCACATATAATTAGATCATTTAACTGCGTTTAACAGTTGTCATTGTTTGGAAAGTGTTCGGTCCGATAATGGCCGTCTGCGGCTGTTCCAAGAATTGGACCATTTAGGTTTTGTGGCAGCAGAAAATATAGATTAAGCTCATCCGAATAATTAATAAAAGACAGATCGTATGAGGATATGTAAATATAACGATTGAACGTCTGTCAGATTGCAGTTACAGCCAATATGAATGCATCTGGGTGACAGATAATTAATCATGACGTCCGCATTCTATTTATCTGTCACCCAGTTTGCATTCATATTTGCTGTAACTGCAATCTAAAAGAGGTTCAATTCTTAATTAATGGGTCAGTTTCCGTAACAACCTTGTGACACCAAATTGCAGTTTAGCTATCTTATTACCTGGCTAAGTGATCAAACGCATGCTAATCTTTAGGTGACAAAGTTTAGTATCTCACCGAGGTAGTGCATGTGATTAACTGCTTTTGTTATGTAGACTGGTCCAGACAAGTATCGCGAGGTACAGTCACTTCTACACCATGCTTCTACTTCAAATTCTTCTTCACCAGGAGGAATATCAGCCTGGAATAAGGCGACCCCCCACACTTTAAGGTCATTTGGCCGGCGATTTTTGGTGTAGTACAATGTCATTCCGGAGCTATCAGTGTAGTCGGAGCGAAGCTCAGGATTGTTCCAGTGAATCTACAAAATAGTGGAAGATACTCAAGCACGTAAAAAATCCCTTACATTGGTATCCGTGCAAACATGTAATTCAACATGCAGACTTCAATGGTCAAAGCAAACTTTGTGGTTGCTAACGGCAAACTTTAATGTACAGAGGAGACACACGACCTTCTTACAGGTTCTAAAACGAACTCAGTCTAGCATATATCTCGATTAGAAACAGAAAACAGAAAGATAAACGAAAATTGTGTGATTAACTTAATTACTTTTCCATCAACAAGAACGTGTCTTTTTCTCTATGATATACATCGCCTCAATTCTCTAGGTAAGCTCTTTATAATCTTAGTTATAACTAGTACTTCAAGCACTTATAATACATCATCAACCTCAATTTCACTTAAGTCATTTACAGCTTTTCGTGTATTTGGATTTATTAATTAAGCTCTGTTGTTGTTTTAAAACAACAGGAAAAGAGATTACAGTGCCTCACTTTTCTTGCAATTAATATTTCACCACCTTACAAATGTAACTGTTCGATTGCTCGGAACGTCGAGGACGGACAAGCTTATAACACAAGATTTGGAGAGATGCCAGCTGATGAAGATATTTCATTTTATTGTCGCCATAATGATCGCATTTGGAAATTATATATTTCTTGTGCAGTTTGCAAGTCGAAGTTTTTCCATTTCGTTCTCGTTCCCCTTGTAGTTTCGTTATTCCCTTGTAGTTCCGTTATCAGTCCCCGGTTCCCACTTTGAGGACGTGGCATTTCTCAGTTTTGACCTAGTTTTGACCTAGATTTGACCTAGATTTGACCTAGATTTACATGGCGGGCGTCGTCGATGAGACAGCAGACGCCTACCCTTCCAGAACACATGGTCTCATCATTCCTGTCTTTTTTAAAAGATGTGCGCTCCAAGTGCGAATGAACATATGAGCGCACGACGGACGAACGATGTGTGATAACAATCGTTGTTGGTGTAAATTCAGGAATGCCTCAACAATAAATACAATTTTGATTTATCACACATTTGCAAATGTATACACTAATCGTTCTATCTAAATTCATTTTAGAAATAACGTTTTCATATTTGTTTTACAAAAGACACGTGAGCAACACATTTCATTTCAAATATATTTTATTGATTAAACAAAAGGATTGAGCAACAGGCTTTGCCTATATAAGCTCTCTCCATGGCTTCCAGCATACTTTTGATATTTGAAGACATTGAATACAATATTTACATACATACATTTTATTTCAACTCATCTCATGACACATGGATACATTTATTGCTAAGTAATATACATTTAATTAGGCTGGCTTAATATTTTCATGTTTCTACAGAAAAAAAAAAAAAAAAATCCTTGGAGAAAAAAAAAATACAAACTTTTGCGATATAAATATTTAATATAGTTGTAAAATTTGTGTCAAGAAGAATTAAATATACCGTTATGAAAATACACAGCATTCAAATCGAATTAAATATATGGATGACCTTGAGC